CTGGGCGGCCGGGGGTCGTACCCCAGCGCTCCCAGCTAGTTCCACGCTGTTAACCCCATCGCCTGTGGCGTTCGGCTGAATTGAGGTTCTGCGCAGTGTTTTAACCTTCTGGGTAAGGGCTGTGGATGGGGAGCCAGGGCGTTGCTTAGTCCGGGTTAAACATCACGGGTAAGAGAAAGATCCGTGGCCGGCGAAAGATTTTATCATTTAAGCATATAGGGGGCAGGTGTTTTTGTCAGAAGGGTTAAACTCATATGGGTTCAGACTTGATTTGCCCCAGAGTGATGCATTTTGAAGCCCAAACATGCCACATGAGATGCATAAATGGTAAAATTCATGACCATAATAACAGTAGTTTAACCAGGAGACTGAGGGATATGAATTTCTTCTGTGGGGTGTTAAAATATTTTCTGTTCTCCTGAAGCGTTTGTGCGTTATAAAGTCATATTAGCGGCCATGAATTTTTGCTTTGCTGTTAATATGCAGGTCTCAAATGCAGGGGATACTCATGTAGAAGGTGTCTAACCAGTAATCCTTGCTGCAATAGTGACAGTGTTACTGGATAAACTATGGAATAAAACGAGCTGTGTGCTGTGAATCTTTTATTAGCTCTTTCTGATAAACAGGAGACCACTTCCTGTAAAGATACAGTTTTATCTTGTTTGGAAAATAAAGGATGTCATAGGAAATACGAAAGAGGTATTGCCATTAGCAAAATTGCTGATGCGTTTAGTAATGAGGAGAAGGCTACCTAGCAGGCTACTTCCAGGCTTGTTGAGTTTATTATGACAAAGTAGGCCCCAGTGCCTCATGGCTTACAAGTATAGTTAACTTTACCTGCTGCAAGCAGGTAATTCAGCTTCTCGTAGTATGTACTCCTAAACATGTTTAGGCTGTGCTATTAAAGATTGAATTGATTCTCCCTATAAGCTTATTCTTCCTTTCAGAGCTTTTTGCCTAATGGACTTGGTCTCCTTCCATTTAGAACAGAGAATATCCGTATGATATATCTGTCTGTCCTGCAGCATTCTCCACACTTCATAATTCTAGAATTATGAAGCCTGTTAGCTTAATTCTGGGATTTTTTATTTTTTCTTGCAGTCTGTATCTGTAGATACCTGTTCAATACAATGCAATTCACAAATGATGATAATATTTAACGTGGCAGAAGGTCAATCAACTAGATATTACTGTAAGGTTTTTCCTTTTTAAACTTTTATGGCTGTTTCTGTCTTCCACAGAACTTCCAAGTTAATCTTTCTTCATTTAGGCCCATTAGATACCAGTAACGTGATGGAGAAGGTATACTGTTATTAATTTCTTAGCGAGATTAGGTATATGTAGCTTCTAAAATAGTTTGAAGTAAATTCCTTACAAATATTTTTTGTACTTCCTTTGTCATCATTGTTACTGTTTAAATAATGATGTCCAGGAATACATGTAATTTTGCTAGAATACTGGTGTCAATTTTTAAAGGAAAAATGTCTTTTTTTTTACCACTTTGCTCTGTGCTTTTTCACTGAATAAAGAGTTTCCAGTGGTTCCTTATCAAATAGAAAAATTGTATCTGATTTACTGTTGAACTTTGTAAGTGTAACTCAAAAGTGATTTCGTTTTGATTTTCTTTATTCTAGCTTTTCTGCGGAAAGTCTACAGCATTCTTTCCATTCAAGTTCTTTTGACCACAGTCACATCTGCAATTTTCCTGTACTCTACTGGAGTGCAGGCATTTGTTCATGAGAGGTAAATATTAAAATGAAATTAAGCTGTATGTTGTGTGTTAAGTATAGTTTATGTAGCTAGTTGCTCTGGAACACTTCAGTATTCCTAATAATTTTTATAGCCTGTGTGTTGATTCTGTAGTAGCAATTTTGTAACCTGATTAGGAACTGACTTTTCTTCCTGATGTTTTTCTCCTTGGTTTATTATAAAAATTTATTTTGATTATTATCATTAAAGTTTCTTTTAATCCATATAATGGTGCTTATTTTAATATTTACGCTATGAAAGCCTGTGCGTCAGTTGTAGAACATCTCAGTTATTGACATTTCTTGTTTTATGGTCTGAGTACCTAATTTTAGAATCTGTTTGGAATCCTGTTGTTTAAAGGTACCTGTTCCAAAAAGCTGAATCATGTCTTACTTCTCTCCCTCCCCCATCTTGTTTTGTTTTTGTTGTGGGTTTGTTGTTGTTGTTGTTTTTTTTTTTCTGGAAAACTGGTGTGTAAAATTCCTGTGGGCTTGCTTCCTTTTACCTCTCAGATTTTCAAGAGAAAAAAGCAAGTCTCAAAATCCTGACTGTGGTGAACGGGCAGGGGGAGGGAACAACTGGGGAAAGGAGGAGAGCACAAAGTCCAGTTTCTGTTTTCCCCCAAGTTCACCTGTAGACTTTGGTTTTTCTTTCCCTTCAAAGCCTTAGTAAAAAAGGAGCACCAAGCACTATATGAAAGTTTCTGCATAAGCTATAATGTATACAACAGAGGTTGTTGTATGTAAACCCACAATTTTCTGCTTAAATCTGATAATGTAAAATCGTCCTGCTCACTTAGAACCATTGTGATTTTGTGTTTGATTTTGGTCCAGTTTTTGCTTGGAGGGCTGCTTGAATGATTTAGTTATAGTGATACTTACTTGTCAGTGCTGATTTCTTTGGTGCAGTTAGTGCCCACGTTTATTGCGTTCAGGTGTTCCCTGAATGTGGAGTTCTTAATAGGCAAAACATCACATATACTTTAATACTGTTTGTTTGGTACAGAGGGATTTTCCTCTTCATATGGGTTCATCTCGAGGTGATGGGTTCCTGGGCAATCTTTAGCTTCAGTATGAAAATATTGTCTTTACTTGTGACTGTACTATTTTTAACCAGTTATCTGTGGTGGTATGTTTTAGAGCAGTTTTAGTGTAGAGCTTGTTTTACATTCACTTTGGGTATAAGGAGCAGTATCTTTATCTAGGTGATCACTTTAAAAACCAGTTTATATAAAAACAAGCTTTTGTCTTTCATGTGTTTTAATTTAGTTGACTTTTTTGTATGGAACTCTACAGGCCTGCCTTGCTTTTGATCTCTGTGTTTGGATCTTTGGCTATAATCGTGGCACTGACCCTCTACAGACACCAGCATCCTGTTAATTTGTACCTGCTTTTTGGGTTTGTAAGTATTTATACAAATTCCATTTTAATAGTCCCTAGAATATCTTTCATTGTGATGAACTCCTTGAAGCAAACTAGTGGTGGGTAATTTGTTTTTATTGTGTTCCTGGAAAGATATCCTATATTACTTACAAAGGTCAGAGTAATTATTTTGGAGATTCTGTCACAGGTTTTCCTAGATAGCCTCTATGTCAGGTTTGGGAGAGTGTTAGAACTTGGAATCAGGTTGAGCAAGGTTTGTGTTTTTGTGTGTGTGTGTATAAATCTATCTGCGTATCATTGGTCTGTTGGTGTCAGAGATTTTTCTATCAAACTGCTCAGTAGGAAAGGAGGAGGCATTTCTGTTACCTATTTGTTTAATGGACAGACTCCAGCAGAGACCCGAGTACAACCAGCCATATGTGTCTATTTCTTTAATTGTTGTCTTTTTTATGCTAATTTCTGAGCATGTTTCCAGTGCAGGCAGGTAAATCGGAGCTATCCTCAAATTTCATTCTCCTGCCTGATGTTGCAAATTTGTAGATATGAGCTGACTGTTGTTCTTGGATATTCTGGGTTATGTGGCAAATCAGTCTTCTGAAAGGAAGTCACAGTAGCACAATTAGAATTTGATGCTTTAGGAGTTGCCTAAATTGTATTTGCAGTACAACAGGGAGAACAGCTTTGCTGTGGAAGTAAATAGACTGTTCAAATGGTAACACAGTTACATGCTTCCTGACTGCTGAACTCTTGCAGGAGACTAAAATGTTTAAAGACTTTCAACAAGTGCAGCTGTAACAAGGAGGGATGTAATAGTTTGGCCAAATGTGGTGTGGGAGTTTGTGGTATGACAGTTTAAGTATTACGGTGTGTAGGAATAGAAGGACTCAAATTGTGTGTGATAAATTAATTTAACCAGAATATGGACTAAATGTTCTGTTGTTTCTGACCTCTTGGTTCATGACATAGAGACTTTTGTCATATTTTATTGTAATGAAACTTAATTAGAAATTACCTTTTAGAAAAACGGAGGGCCCATACTAGCCTTCAGCCCAGACATCAACAATGTTTGATTTTAAGTGAGCTGTTCCAAAACAAGGATGAGTGGAAAAAGGAAGTTGATGGAGACACTTAGCTAACAAGATACTAAGAGTGTATTAATTTTATAGTCTCTTGAATAGCTTCTAAGAAGTGTGCTAAGAATGCTGTGTGCTTCGAGTAGAAAACCTAAATGGCATTTTTCTATAGGGGCTGTCTGTCATTCATTTTCACTTTATATTGTATTCTTTCTGAGTAACACAACAACTTCCAGCACAGTAAGACAGTTTGATTGCCATTTTCTTGTTGAAAGCTAAACATGTTTTCACATACAAACATTTAACAAGAAAGCAAACGTAACGCATGCTGGGATTAGGTAGCAGGAAGGGACTCATTGCATGTGAAGTCTCCATGTAAGCATTTTGTGTTTTGGTTTGGGTTTTTTTTTTAATTGTTGTAATTTTTTGGTTTTACTTTTCTAGACCCTACTGGAAGCACTGACAGTTGCCATTACAGGTAAATGGTAGCCATCCTATTGTCTGATTCCATAAAGAAATTGGAAAAGGAATCCAATATGTTGTATTAATTGCCAGCTGAGATTCCTAGATGAGACTAAAATGATAATAAATCCCATTTGAAAATTTCAATGACAGTGATAGGAGTTTAGCAAAAAAGAGGCAATCAAGGGAGAAAACTGGATTCTGATCCAGAACTGAAACTGTACAAACCTGAAGTTAGAAATTAGTTGTGCAGTCCGTCCTTTCCGTACTATTAGCGATGTTCTTTCCTCTAAGGTAACTCTCAGCAGAGCTGATCTGCAAGTGAAATATCCTCGGTTTCCTCCAAGGGAATTTAAGTTTGTTCTGTACCTCATTGTCAGAGTTGAGATGGGGCAGTGTGCAGGCGGGTCATAGCAAGACCTTGCACTATGGCATCCGGTGTAAGATGAAACCTCTTCATTGTGGCTTATGACCTCCTGCCAAAAAAAAAAAAAGTCATTTGAGGAAAGGAAAGATTAAGGAGGAAGGAGGGAAGAAAAAGGTTCTACTTGTTTCTTTTATCTTTCCCCTCCTATCCCCAAATCCAAACTTTATGAGCCTTTACAGAGGATGGATTTTTTTTTTTTTTCCTTGTTTCAGTATCAGGAAAAATTCAAATAGCTTTTTCCTTAAGATCTCATATCTATGCTTAAAATACTGATTTTGGTTGTTGGTTTGGTTTTTATTGTGAGTAGGGAAGATCTGTTATTTCCATTTAAGAAGGTAGAGCTATAAGGTAACTGTCAAACTTAGGGGTCAGTGAGTCCTGTGATCGTGATTTTGAAGTGCAAAGACAAGTTCAGGCATAATTTCCTTTTTTTGTTCACAGTTTAGATTTCTTTTTCCTGTCTATGACAGTTTAAACTTCTGTTTCCTCAAACGATGACTTAGCAAGTACAGAGTGTAGTGTTCTTTAAATGACAGTTTACTTTTTCTGTTCATAGTGAGTTTCTATGACGTGTCCATCGTCTTGCAAGCCTTTATTCTTACTACTGCTGTATTTCTTGGACTGACCGCATATACCTTGCAGTCAAAGAGGGACTTCAGCAAATTTGGAGCAGGGTACGTTGTCTATTGATGATTTTTTTTAATTTTATTTTGTTATGATAGATTTTCCTTTTTTAAAGCAAGCTTTGCAGATGTAATAAGGAATACAGGTCAGTAGAACCTGCGTCAAGGGAATGGTGAGGGTGTTATTTATATTAAATCATTAATTTTATGCAGTTCTGCTTTTTTGGTAAGAAATCCTCTTCTGTGATAATGACTCTTAAAACCTTAGTATTACACTAGAAAATATTCACCTGGATTTTTCACTGAGACAGAAGGCAGCTTTATAACACCAAGTTTTACTGCTGATACTAACGAACAGTTGGCATCTAAGAATTAGGGACATTTACTTAGCAAATACATTGTGAGGAGGTTTTATAAGAAGAGAAAAGATTTTAAGTAATATTTAAAAGAAAATATATTGTTTAGTTTAATTTTTTTTTTTTTTTTCAGCCTCTTCGCTTGTTTGTGGATTTTAATCTTCTCAGGTTTCTTGAGGGTAAGACACCTTGTGTTCAAGGTTAAAAGAATACTCTTTAACATAAATCTTTTACTAACTTCTAGTATAATGAAAAGGTTTTGGACAGTCCACTATAGCTTAATGAAAGAAAATTCCTAACTGGATCCATTACTGCTGTAGATCATGCTGGTGATCTTTTAACCATTCATTTCCAAATCAGGGTTTTGTTGGATGCTGTTCTTGCTAATGTAGAAGTGGTATTTGTGTTGAGAGACAAAATTTGTCAATCGAATTCCACTATTTGGTTGAGAGAATGGGAAGAAGGTTTGGGGTTGAATTGTATTTTCTTTTTGTAATTTTTCTGCTGTGAATATTCTGGGGACCAGAGCTTCCTCTCTCTTAAGGGGAGGCACTTCCACTCGCTTAAGAGATTGTGTGACTGGGGACTGTATGAAATAAGAACACTGAAATGTCATCATGATATTATATTTGTGTGTACGTAAGAGTAAAAAGACAGTGTGTATCCTTGTTTTAGGTGTGGTATATCATTATGCAGGGGTTTTAATATTAAAATGAAAATGAAATTTACAAATTTTTTTTTTCATGTTTCATTTGCCTCCAGCTGTTTTTCTATAGTGAGACAATAGAGTTGGTGTTTGCTGCCACTGGAGCTCTTCTCTTCTGTGGATTTATTATTTATGACACTCATTTGCTGATGCACAAACTGTCCCCTGAAGAGTACATACTGGCTGCAATCAATCTCTACTTGGATGTCATCAATCTGTTCTTACACCTACTGCGTTTACTGGAGGCATTCAATAAAAAGTAGTCAAAAGCGGTGTAGTTTGAGTATAGCATATGTAAAGTTAAGCGTTTGGATGATCTGCAAACCGTGTAGTTTGTCTTCTAGAGACTGAGTCTTTATTACTTTTTCATTCCATGAATATTGATCCCTCCTTAGGGGAAAAAAAGGCTTTTTTACGTAGCTGAAGTTCTTCTCTAGAATATATGTTTTATGTAGTTAACATCCTGTTGTCATTTCAGTCACTTTTTAAATCATTTAATTTGCACTTGACATGATTAAAACATTCGCCAACTTCGGATTGCTGTGGAGTGAGCCCCTCTCTGCTATTCTGTAGCTGCTGGAAATGTTTCCTTTGGGATTGTAAGTGTGTGTACCACGTAAGCGTAGCCCGAGTTTATCATTGTGCAATGTTTTATTAAGCTAAATTTTTTTCTAGTTTTTGTTCTGCTGTCTCTGACAGAGATACTGTGTTCTTGTTCAGGGCTGTCAGATCATTATGTGAGCTGGGAGGGCATTAAAGGGAATGTTTTCATTTAAGTATTATTTATTGCCTATCATTCAGTGTTCTGAAAAATCATTTGGAGATGGGTTCTGGCATTTTATCAACTTGTGTATATTAGGGTTAACTGTCTGTCAATAAAAATTGACTAAAACCCTTTAGTCGGTGCTTGCAGCGGGGACTGGAGAACTTCAGGGTGCTGAGAAGGAGCACCGCAACCCTTGCTGGGCAGGCAGGCACTTGCTGTGACAGGGGTGAGGTGCTGCCACAGCGGCTGCTTTCCAAGCTGTTGAAATCCTGCAAGGGCAGGGAGGGTAAAAACAATTTCAGAAGGCTTTCTGACTTCATATTGGGTGCTGAAGTAGTGTTACTGCTCACCTGTCAGTGAGGGGTCAGCAAAAAGGCAACACGGTACTGGGGAAACATCCCCTGCCCTACCACAGGTGGTGATGACATGTGCTTTGCGTGCTGGAAATAGACTGAGGCTGTTGAATCATAAAACCACAGAATCATTAGGTTGGAAGGGACCTCTGAGATCATCAAGTCCAGCTGTCAACCTAACACTACCCTGCCCACTAAACCATGTCCCAAAGTACATCAACACGTTTTTTGAACACCTCCAGGGGTGGTGACTCCACCATTTGCCTAGGCAGCCTGTTCTAATGCTTGACCACTCACAGCATCACAGCATGTTAGGGGTTGGAAGGGACCTCAAAAGATCATCTAGTCCATCTCTCCTGCCAGGGCAGGACCACCTAGAGTAGGTAAACTTTCAGTAAAGAAATTTTTCCTGATGTCCAATCTAAACCTCCCCTGGTGCAACTTGAGGCCATTTCCTCTCGTCCTATCACTTGTTACTTGGGAGAAGAGACTGAACCCCACCTCACTACAACCTCCTTTCAGGTAGTTGTAGGGAGTGATAAGGTCCCCCCTCAGCCTCCTCCAGACTAAACAACCCCAGTTCCCTCAGCTGCTCCTCACCAGACCTGTTCTCCAGGCCCTTCACCAGCTTC